GTCAGGCATGGTGGCATGTGCTGTGTCTGTAGTCCCAGCTACTCAGGAGGCTAAGGCAGGAGAATCGCTTGAACCCAGGAGGCAGAGGTTGTGGTGACCCGAGATTGTGCCACTGCACTCCAGCCTGGGCAAGAAGGCAAGACTCCATCTCAAAATAAAAAAAAATACTAAAAATCTTATTTAAAAAAATCTTTTGGCTGGGTGCAGTAGCTCACACCTGTAATCCTAGCACTTCGGGGGCGGAGGTGGGTGGATCACTGGAATTCAGGAGTTCAATCCGGGAGGTGGAGGTTACAGTGAGCTGAGATCAGTTTACTGCACTCCAGCCTGGGCGGCACAGTAAGACTCCATCTCAAAAAAAGAAAAAAAAAACTCTTTTGCCCCTGAGATAATAATCATGAATCTAATTAATACCTTTCTTTTAGAGGTGAAAAAAGGGACTTAGAAAAGCAAGGTTCAGGCTGGGAACAGTGGCTCACACCTGTAATCCCAGCACTTTGGGAGGCTAAGGCAGGCAGATCCCTTGAGGTCAGAAGTTCGAGATCAGCCTGGCCAACATGGTGAAGGCCTGTCTCTACCAAAAATATAAACAATTAGTGGCACGAGTCTATGATACCAGCTATTCAGGAGACTGAGGCAGTAGAATCGCTTGAACCCAGGAGGCAGAGGTTTCAGTGAGCCAAGATTACACCATCGCTCTCCAGCGATGGAGACAACAAAGCAAGACCCTGTCTCCTAAAACAAAAACAACAAAAAACCAAGTATTGGGTTCTCAACCTCAAATATGGTACTTAATTGTTTTAGAGAATGGTGAAGTCATAACTGATCAAGCACTAATAAAGAGAAATATAATGAGTCACAAATGCAAGCCACATATGTGATTACAAATTTTCTGGCTGGGCGCAGAGGCTCACACCTGTAATCCCAGCACTTTGGGAGGCTGAGGTGGGCAGATCACTTGAGGTCAGGAGTTTGAGACCAGCCTGACCAACATGGAGAAACCCCATCTCTACTAAAAATACAAAATTAGCCAGGCATTGTGGTGCATGCTTGTAATCCCAGCTACTCAGGAGACTGAGACAGGAGAAAGGCTTGAACCCAGGAGGCAGAGGTTGTGGTGAGCAGAGATCGCACCATTGCACTCCAGCCTGGGCAACAAGAGTGAAACTCTGTCTAAAAAAAAAAAAAAAAAAAAATTTTCTGGCCAGGCAAGGTAGCTTACATCTGTAACTCCAGGACTTTGGGAGATCAAGCCAGAAGGGTCTCTTGAGCCCATGAGTTTGAGACTAGCCTGGGCAACAAAGCAAGATCCCATCTCTTTTAAAAAAAAAAAAAAAAAAAAAAAAAAAAAAAGTAGGAGATTATAGGTACAATGAGACAACACCACACCACTGCACTCCAGTCTAAGTGACAGAGCAAGATCCTGTCTCAAAAAATAAATAATTAAATAAAATAGGCCAGGTGTGGTGGCTCAAACCTGTAATCCCAGCATTTTGGAAGGCTGAGGCGGGTGAAAAGTAGCTGGGTGTGGTGCTGCATACCTGTAATCCCAGCTACTTGGGAGGCTGAGGCAGAAGAATCATTTGATCCCAGGAGGTAGAGGTTGCAGTGAGCTGTTATCATGCCACTGCACTCCAGCCTGGGCAACAGAGCAAGATTCCTTCTCAAAATACGTAAATAAAATAAAACACAAAAATTTTCTAGTAATCAATTGACAATGTAAAAAGAAACAGGTGAAATTAATTTTAGTAATTATTTAACACCATATGTCCAAAATATTATCATTTCAATACATTATCAATATAAAAAAATTGATATTTTACATTCTTTTTTCTTTCTTTTTTTTTTTTTTTGGAGACGGAGTTTCACTCTTGTTACCCAGGCTTGGAGTGCAATGGTGCAATCTCAGCTCACTGCAACCTCTCTCTCCTGGGTTCAAGCAATTCTCCTGCCTCAGCCTCCTGAGTAGCTGGGACTACAGGCGTCTGCCACCATGCCCAGCTAATTTTTGTATTTTTAGTAGAGATGGGGTTTCACCATGTTGACCAGGATGGTCTCAATCTCTTGACCTCGTGATCCACCCGCTTCGGCCTCCCAAAGTGCTGGGATTATAGGCGTGAGCCACCGCGCCCGGCCCTACATTCTTTTTTTTATACTATGTCTTCAAAATCCAATTACAGCACATCTCAATTTGGACTAGACACATTTCGAGTGCTCAACAGCCACATGTGGCTAGTGGCAACCGTATTGGACATTGCAGACCTAGTCTGTAAGGAACAGGTATAAAAGGCAAAGAAGAAAAAGCTACAGTCAAAAAAAAAAAAAAATCATATTCAACTGTCTCTATTTGTCTATTGGTACCAATACCAAATGGTAATATGTCTACAGATAAAGAGTAATGGGGCTTTTTATGATATTTGCCTCAGCAGTTCTGAATTCCTAGTTATGATATATATTTTTCTGAGGCAGGAGTCTTGCTCTGTTGCCGAGGCTGGGGTGCAGTGGCGTGATCTTGGCTCACTGCAACCCCCACTTCCCAGGTTCAAGCAAACCTCCTGCCTCAGTCTCCCAAGTAGCTGGGATTACAGGTGTGTGCCACCATGCCCAACTAATTTTAGTATTTTTAGTAAAGACAGGGTTTTGCCATGTTGGCCAGGCTGGTCTTGAACTCCCAACCTCAGATAATCTGCCTGCCTCAGCCTCCCAAAGTGCTAGGATTACAGGTGTGAGCCACTGCGCCCAGCCTACAACTGCTTTTCTTTAAAATATTCTATTATTTTAAAATGCAGTTGTTTGTCAGTTACCACTAAGACAGAGAGCTTACTGGGCCACTTCAATACTCCAAGTCACTGATCTGTATCTTCTGCATATATTTACCCTGCGTATGCATCTTAGTAGAATTTGACTTAGCTAGATTTGACATAGAACTGTATAAAAAATATTAAAGTCAGGGGGAATAGAGTCTTGCTCTATTGCCCAGGCTGAAGTGAAGTGAGGCAATCAGCTCACTGCAACTTCAAACTTCCGGGCTCAAGGGATCCTCCTGGCTCAGCCTCCCAAATAGCTGGGACAACAAATGTGTGCCACCACGCCTTGCTAGTTTTTAAATTTTTTGTAGAGACAGGGTCTCACTTTGTTCCTCTGGTTGGTCTCAAACTTCTGGGTTCAAGCAATCCTCCCACCTCAGCCTTTCAAAGTACTGAGATTACAGGCAGAGCCACCACACCTGCCTTAAAGTCTGATTTCATTCATAAAATATGAATATAAATTGAAACCTGAAAATCTGGCTAAGAATCACATACCATCAAAGCTGATGGGCTTAGTGAACTGCAAACTGTGTTTATATTACTGCCACTTTGTGGCATCATTTCAGCTGGTAAACAGAAATATTACCTATTCAGCAATGTTTAGAAGCATTATTTCTATTTCTTTTTTTTTTTTTTTTTTTTGAGAAAGTCTCATTGTTGTTGTTGCCCAGGCTGTAGTGCAAGGGTGCAATCTGAGCTCCCTGTAACCTCCGCCTCCTGGGTTCAAGTGATCCGCCTGCCTCAGCCTCCTGAGTAGCTGGGATTACAGGCACTCACCACCAAGCCTGGCTAATTTTTTTGTATTTTAGTAGTGGCAGGGTTTTACCATGTTGGCCAGGCTGGTCTTGAACTCCTGATCTCAGGTGATTCACCTGCCTTGACCTCCCAAAGTGCTGGGATTACAGGTGTGAGGCACCGTGCCCAGCCGGGAGGATCATATTTCTACAAGTGATTTCAGTGATTCCTGTTTTTTTTATCACTTACTATTAGGATAAATGTAAAATATTCTTGATAACCCCTAACAGTATCACTCAGTGTCATTAAGTGGTCATGTTAATGCTTTAGGTAATAAGTGTGACCCTGAAGTAGTGACTTCAGGAGTTAAATATAATAAAACTCTGAAGAATGCGCCTGTAATCCCAGCACTTTGGGAGACCAAGATGGGCGGATCACAGGGTCTGGAGTTCAAGACTAGCCTGACCAACATGGTAGAATCCCATCTCTTAAAACAAAACAAAACAAAAAAACTCTGAAGAATGAAAGAAAAAATTACCATAAAAGAAGACAACAAAATATTAGCGATAAGGTCGGGTGCCACTGTACTTCAGCCTGGGCAATAACAGTGAAACTCTGTCCCAGAAAAAAAAAATAGAGATAACTGCTGAGAAAATAAAAAGCAGCAGTAGAGCAGGAATGTACTACAATGACTGTATAAGCTCCAAGAATACCCTCCACACAAACAACCCCCCAAACACAAAACAACAATTCTTGAATAATGTAAGTTTTGAAGATACTCAAGAATGCACCTGTGACGACTACGTACTTACTACAAAACTTTTAGAAGCACTGGTGGTCTAGGCTGTTACTTAGGTAAGGGGCAGCCAATGACCGGACCCAGGGTAAACATCTGAACCATGAGAAGCCAGCCCACAGGCCACCTGCAGACTAGGAAACCAACTGGTAGAAAAAGTATAAACAAATTTGTCCAAGAAGAATAATGATAATTAGCTAGTCTGGACATCCCCTTCAGAAGTTGAAAAGGAAAATATGGAGGGAATCAGTTGGAAGGAGAAGAAATTTAAAAACATAAAAAGTAAAGCAGTGAAGGTTATTTAGAAACAGTCATGATGAAGTCCCAGAAAAAGTATCCACAAACTGCCATGGATGGGGGCAGTCAGGAAATCACCTGGTCTCCACAACTGCCTTGTCCAGAAAACTGCCTTTGAATCCAGGACACAAGCTCCACCTGGATTTCTGTAACTTTTTCCATTTCTTTAGTGTCATTTTGCATCCACCAATGAAGAATGGGACCTCAGGCAGTTTGAGAAAGCTGCTATCTAACACATACATTGTTTTTCTGAATTGGTGAGATTTTCCTAGAGAGGTAGTGAGTTACCTATTCTTGCTTTCATCCACAGACGACCACAGAAATGCGCAAGATAGATTTTTATATTAAAAAATACCTTTACATACCTGCATTTTTTTCTCTTGCTCATTTTCTCCAATCATTCCAGTACCTGTTACACTTTCACTTCCATCAATGGACACCTAAAGGAATAAAATAAAGCTTTAAAACGTTTTATATTTTAGCCAGGCGTGGTGGCTCACGCCTGTAATCCCAGCACTTTGGGAGACTGAGGCAGGAGGATCATGAGATCAGGAGATTGAGACCATCTGGCCAACAGAGTGAAACCCCATCTCTACAATTAGCTGGACATGGTGGTGTGTGCCTGTAGTACCAGCTACTCAGGAGGCTGAGGGAGGAGAACTGCTTGAACCCAAGAGGTACAGGCTGCAGTGAGTCGAGACTGTGCCACTGCACTCCAGCCTGGCAACAGAGCAAGGCTCCATCCCAAAAAAAAAAAAAAAAAAAAAAAAAAGTTTTACGTTTTAACAATGGCTTAGGCTGGGAAAGTACAAGGTTCAGGGAGAAGCTTGCAAAAAGAATAAAAGGAAAAAAAGGGGTTTCATTATCATTGATTTTTGTGTATATTTGAAAATTTCCATAATAGGCTTGGCATGGTGACTCATACAAGTAATCCTAGCACTTTGGGAGGCTCAGGCAGGAGGATAATTTGAGCTCAGGAGTTCAAGACTAGCCTGGGCAAAAGAGCGAGACCCGTCTCTATTTATTTTGTTTGTAAAGAAAAAAAAGAAAATAATAAAAGTGAAATAAAAAACCTTTTAAGTTATATGAGAGGGCCGGGTGCGGTGGCTCAAGCCTGTAATCCCAGCACTTTGGGAGGCCGAGGCGGGTGGATCACAACGTCAAGAGATCGAGACCATCCTGGTCAACATGGTGAAACCCCGTCTCTACTAAAACTACAAAAAATTAGCTGGGCATGGTGGCGCGTGTCTGTAGTCCCAGCTACTCAGGAGGCTGAGGCAGGAGAATTGCCTGAACCCGGGAGGCGGAGGTTGCGGTGAGCCGAGATCGCGCCATTGCACTCCAGCCTGGGCAACAAGAGCGAAACTCCGTCTCAAAAAAAAAAAAAAAAGTTATATGAGAGATACATGTTCGAAGCACGGGAAAAAAAATTAACCCTTTTGATATAAAACTTAATTGAGACTTTCCTTCACTTTTCCTACAGTTCCCACTTTTTAAATTTTTTAAATATTTTTTTTAATATAAAGATGGAGTTTCACCATGATGGCCAGGCTGGTCTTGAACTCCTGACCTCAGTTGATCCACCCACCTCAGCCTCCCAAAGTGCTAGGATTACAGGCATGAGCCACCACGCCCGGCCTATAGTTCCCACTTTTTAACTCATAAGCAGTTTCATTTATACTTGATTACTTCTTTTATAGCCCTTCATCCTTGTGTATCTTTTGGTGAATTACCAGCAACTCATTTCTCTTCCATAAGCCTTTACCTCAACCCATTCCCTTATTTTTTTTTCCAATATTTCTTTCTATACTTAACTTAAGATAAATGATTATCTCTTTGGATACTGATTTTCACTTTGAATTGCTAGTTTCTCTTTCTTTTTTTAATTTTTGAAATTGAGACAGGGGTCTGTGCTCAAACAATCCTCCCAAAGTGCTGGGATTATAGGCATGAGCCACTGTGCCATGCCTGGCTAAAACTGACCATTTTTTTTTTTTTTTTGACGAGGTGTACTTTTTTGTTTTCTTTTCTTTTCGTGAAAAATAAAGAAGCTATATCTGGGACATTCTTGACACTGTGAAATGCTATACCTTTGCTGCATACTGTTCCAAAGCACTGATGGTGTCAGGGTCAATTGTAGCATCCCCAGTGTGCAGACCTGCTACTGTCCCATCTGCCTGAATTGCCAAGATGGTGTCAGACTGTGGGACTTGCACTGCGTGGTGGATATAAGCTGTGGTGCCATCTTCCAGCTGAACCGCCTGTAATGCACTCTGGTCATAACTATCTGAGAGAGTGGAAGAGAATGGCATTAAATTAAAGGTAAAATCTGACATTTACATATTTAAAGGAAGAGAGAAACGAGCTTTCACTGAGTGGTTACTTTGAGTAACCATTGGACCATGTACTTTATATGTATTATTTCACTAAATCCTCTCAACAATTCTGCAAGGCAGGTATATTTACCACCCTCATTGTATAAGTGGAAACTCAGGTCTAGAGAAGTAACATCACTTTCCTTAGGCATCAGAAAATTTAAAAAACACTAAAAGGGCCGGGCGCGGTGGCTCACGCTTGTAATCCCAGCACTTTGGGAGGCCGAGGCGGGTGGATCACGAGGTCAAGATATCAAGACCATCCTGGTCAGCATGGTGAAACCCCGTCTCTACTAAAAATACAAAAAATTAGCTGGGCATGGTGGCGTGTGCCTGTAATCCCAGCTACTCAGGAGGCTGAGGCAGGAGAATTGCCTGAACCCAGGAGGCGGAGGTTGCGGTGAGCCGAGAGTGCGCCATTGCACTCCAGCCTGGGTAACAAGAGCGAAACTCCGTCTCCAAAAAAAAAAAAAAAAAAAAACACTAAAAGGCTGGTGCAGTGGCTCAAGCTTGTAATCCCAGCACTTTGGGAGGCTGAGGCAGGGGGATCACTTGAGCACAAGAGTTTGAAACCAGCCTGGGCAACATGGTAAGACCCTATCCCTACTTTAAAAACTTAAGAAAATATAATTTAAAACAAAACAAAAACACTAACAATTAACAGTCAAAATCAGTATGTAGAGGAATCAGTATTTGAACTCATATCAGTTTGACCCCACAGTCCCCCTATGGTGTTTTTTTTTCCTTCTAAATTTCCACACCAAGATATATTTGTGTCTATATTAGTATCAATATAAAATTGTGATTTTATATTGATATATAGATATATAGTGAAATAATAAATCTAGCCAGTTACAATGAACCTGTGACTAACTCTTACTAATAAAGAAAAAAGTACAGCCAGGCGCGGTGGCTTACACCTGTAATCCCAGCACTTTGGGAGGCTGAGGCGGGTGGATCACGAGGTCAAGAGATCGGGACCATCCTGGTCAACACGGTGAAACCCCGTCTCTACTAAAAATACAAAACATTAGCTGGGCATGGTGGCGCGTGCCTGTAATCCCAGCTACTCAGGAGGCTGAGGCAGGAGAATTGCCTGAACCCGGAAGGCGGAGGTTGCGGTGAGCCGAGATCGCGCCATTGCACTCCAGCCTGGGTAACAAGAGCGAAACTCCGTCTCAAAATAAAAAATAAAAAATAAAAAATAAAAAATAAAAAAAAATTAAAATTAAAAAATAAGCTGGCTGTGGTGACACACACATGTAGTCCTAGCTGCTCAGGAGGCTGAGGCAGGAGGGTCTCTTGAGCCCAGGAATTCAAGGCTGCAGTGAGCTATGATTGTGTCACTGCACTGTAGCCTGAGTGAGTGAGATCCTATCTTTAAAATACAGTAATAAGTAAAATATGAAGTTAACCATTTCAACGTTATATTGTGATTTTTATTTCTTAGTCTTTTTAAAAAGTAGCAAGGCTGTTTTTAAAATATGAAATTAAGGCTGGGTATGGTAACTAATGCCTATAATCCCAGCATTTAGGGAGGCTGGTTTGAGGCCAGGAGTTAGAGATTACACTGGCAACACAGTGAGAACCTATCTCTACAAAAAATGAAAAAATTAGCTGGGAATGGCAGTGTGCACCTGTAGTCCCAGCTATTCAGGAGGCTGAGGTGGGACGATCCCTAAGCCCCAAAGTTTGAGGCTGCAGTGAGCTGTGATTGTGCCACAGCACTCCGGCCTGGCAACAGAGTGAGATGCTGTCTCTTAAAACAAAAGCCACCCAAAAAAACAAAAAGTGGCCTCTACTTTAAGTCTTCCAGGGACCAGTCATTTGGTTTGCTGTTACAACTTGTCAACAGACAGCTCAAATTGTAGGAAAGTTTTTCCTTAAATCATGCTTGAGGGCCAGGCACAGTGGCTCACGCCTGTAATCCCAGCACTTTGGGAGGCTGAGGCAGGTGGATCATGAGGTCAGGAGTTCAAGACCAGCCTGGCCAAGATAGTGAAACTGCATCTCTTCTAAAAATACAAAAAATTAGCCGGTGTGGTGGCACACGCCTGTAATCCCAGCTACTAGGGAGGCTGAGGCAAAGAGCTGTTTAAATCCGGGAGGCGGAGGTTGCAGAGAGTCAAGGTTGCGCCACTGAATTCCAGCCTGGGCAACAGAGCAAGACTCCGTCTCAAAAAAAATAAAAAAAATGCTTAAATCTGCCATGCTTAAATCTGTACTTCAATGAACAAATACAATTCTTTCCCATGAAAACACTTCAGTAGCTAAATGCAGGTCTTCTTTCCCCCCAGAGTTCTACTTCTCCCTTATTTTATTCATACTTTCAAAGTTATTTTACCTTTGGAGGTATGGTGAATAAACGCTGTGGTACCATCTTCTAACTGCACTGCTTGACCATCCTCTAGACGCAAACTGTCCCCTGCTCAAGAACAAGGCTTACATTTAGATCTCATGTTTTCTGGCACATTCCAATTAACTCACTTAGCAACCAGAGTCAATAAACCATTAACACATTATAACAATTTATACTTGCTTCATGAGTCTTTGAACATTAAAGTAAATTCAGCAAAGCTTCTCTGAGTCAGTGTTGAAAGGTAAAAAGACATTAAAATATTGGTTTTAGGAATATACACCAGTGTTAAAGAGAGTTTAAAGAAGGGGAAAAATGAAGAAAATGAGAGACGTGTAAGATTCAGCTCAAATAATAGAAGCATTCACTTAGGACTGTTACTCATTTATCTATACAATGCAGTCCATCCAATAACTTCTTTTCCATTATCTTTAAGAGAAAGTCTTGGTTAAGATCCACTTTGTGGCATCTATAATCTCCCTTTACAGAAGGAGGACTTGAGATCAAGACCAAGTTTAGGTAGTAAGAGGGAGCTGCAGGCAGCAAATACTAAATGCTGAGAATCAGAAGGGTTTCCTGTGCTATTGTCTTAAATACTTACTACTTTTAGGTATGGGTACATGTTGAACATAGGCAGCAGAACCATCTTCCAACTGAATGACCTGGCCATCTATGAGTTTTCCATCTAGAAAAAAAGATTCAAGACAATAAATTAGCACAAACAAAAATTTTAAACTTTATACAATTTCAAAATGATATCAACTATAAAAACATACACAACTTAAGCTCGTGTTCATCTTGATTCTTCCCTCAAATGTTCTGAGGCAATTCAATAACACATCCAGTGATCCTACAGAAAGCAGAAAATCCTCCCTCAGCCATCCTTCCTCCCCTGCAATTTTCAATTAGATGAGGTCAAGAGGAAGAGTGGCTCATCACAGCAGGCTACATGAGTTGGATTGCTATATACCTTTCAGAGTCACTTAGGATCAGTGACCCTGACAAGGGGGGGAGCTGAAGCTGGGAAGACAGACAGATACCTCAGTGTACATGAGGTCAGTTGTCATTCTCATCCCTGAGGGTTATAAGACCCTTGTTTATGTATACATGTGCTCAGCAGGTTTCCATAAAAACAAAGAGTTTGAGGACTGGGCTGTTTCCTGGAACAAAGCAAACACTAACCAGAGACAACGGGATATAAGCAAAACCAAATGTCCTTTTTTTTTTTTCAGATGGAGTTTCACTCTTGTTGCCCCGGCTGGAGTGCAACTGCACGATGTCGGCTCACCGCAACCTCCGCCTCCCAGGTTCAAGCAACTTCCCTGCCTCAGCCTCCCAAGTAGCTGGGATTACAGGCATGCACCACCATGCCTGGCTAATTTTGTATTTTCAGTAGAGATGGGGTTTCTCCATGTTAGTCAGGCTGGTCTCGAACTCCTGACCTCAGGTGATCCGCCCACCTCATCCTCCCAAAGTGTTGGGATTACAGGCGTGAGCCACGATGCCCAGCCCCAAATGTCTTTACTCCTATACGTATTTGGTAAAAAATATGAAATAATGACCTGAAGTAAAAAAGCAAGAAAGATCTTACTAGAAAATAGGTCAGAGACACTCCCTGCTCTCCTCTCTCCCACTAATTTTGATACCCCAGGGTATCTTCCAAATATCTCAAAGGACAACCCCAAATTGTTTAAAAAAAAAAAAAAAAAAGTGAGTTAAACTGAAATGACTTAAAATTATCATATGCAATACAGCATCTTTAGGAGAGATAGGAAAGGTGGTATAGCTTCTAGGTGCTTCAACTCAGAGGTTATAAATCACTGGTATTAACCAATCAGCCATATGGGAGGCACATACCTTTAGAATTGTGTTGTATGTAAGCAGTAGAACCATCTGCAAGTGTTACTGCTTGCAAGCTTACACCTTCCATATTTTCTAAGTTGTCACCATCTATTACAAAAAAATCAATATTTTCTTTAGACAGCTAGCATATAGACATGATGATTAATTTTTTAAAAAACAAGGATCAGGCAAAAGGTAGATTGCTTAACTTAGACTTAAAATGAGATTTAGCATTTATCACAAAAAATTGGCTGGGAACAACGGGTCATGCCTGTAATCCCAGCACTTCGAGAGGCTGAGGTAGGTGTATGGCTTGAGCCCAGGAGTTCAAGACCAGCCTGGGCAACATGGTGAAACCCCATCTCTACCAAAAATAAACTAATTAGCTGAGCACAGTGGTGCATGCCTGTAGTCTCAGCTACTCAGAGGGCTGAGGTGAGAGGATCTCTTAAGCCCAGGAGGGTGAGGCTGCAGTAAGCCATGATAGCCGTGATCATAGTACTGCATTCCAGCCTGGGTGACAAAGAGAGACCTTGCCTCAAAAAAAAAAAAAAAAAGAAAAGAAAAGAAAGAAAAACAAAAATTCCCTGCCCTACTGTACTCACACCAAGGTAAAAAATACTCAGAGAAAGGCCTAAATTTTTTACCACAGTTTGCAA